AGATGGTACCTCACCCATCCTGGCTATGGTGGAAAGCATTCCTGTTCGATGATTCCATCCCACCCAGTTCCTCTAGCAACATATAATCCAAATCACATGAATGGAAAGGTGAAAACTAGATATTAAAATCCCTCTAAAAAGAGTGTGGCTGGGGAGATGGCTCAGTGGAATAAGCGCTTCCCTGGCAAGCGCAAGGGCCTGAGTTCAATCCCCGGTTCTGAAAAAAAAAAAAAAAAAAAAAGAGTGAGTGGCTGTGAATTTTCCAGACCGTAGCTTTATTTCTAGGACAACATTCCTTTCCTAGAATGCCTCTGAGATATAGAGATTAAATTGGTAGGGTTGTTTGTTTGTTTGTTTGTTTTGCAGAACCAGGGATTGAACTCAGGCCCTTGCACTTGCCAGGGAAGCACTTATTCCACTGAGCCATCTCCCCAGCCCCCCCAGTGGTTATTAAAATCTGAGAAATTCCAAATGTCTAACTATGCCTCAACAATGAATACTCCCCAGGAGGCTCGGGAAAGAAAACAATCACTCATTCTGATTAGCTAGACTTGAGCAAATAGAGCCTCTGCCTCACTGGGAAGACACAGAATGAATGAAGACCGAGGCACAGTGCTCCCTTCCTTACACCAAAGCTTCAGTCTCACCGACCTCTGGACTCAAGGACGGACGCCAGGCTACCGGGTTCAGAATCCCAGAATGCAGCTTGGAGATGGATACAGAGAAGTGCATGGCCCCAGGTCCTGTGGGCGAGGTGCCCACCCACTGCGCTGCCTGCTGGCTTTTGAAGGTGACCTGTGACACAGTGCCCCTCCTGACTATTCGTGTGGCCAGAAGACATTCTGGAAGCAGGATGACTGGGTCCGTGCGCCCTCTCCTCAGGGAAGGAGGAGGAAGGGGGTGCAAGGACACGTGCACCCCTAGAGATGTTATCTTCCTGGATGCCAGCAACCAAGGAAGATGGCATCTGATTTCAGCAATCAAGCTTTCATCAGACATGTTCCCTGGGCAGATGAGGCAGGCCTCAGAGCACAGAGAGACTGCTCAGAGAAAGAGTATTATGGCTTTTGTTCCAAAATGGTGGGCTGTGGAAATAGCAGCGTATAATTTCTGCCCTATAATTTCCCTCCACGCGTTCCTTCATGTCTGAACAGCAGAGTCCCGAGGGAGCGGCTCATCAGCGAGTTCAAACTCCCACAGTTTGGGGCTCCATTTGCCTTTATTCCAGGCCCAGTACTGCAGGGAAGTCTGCGCAACTGTAACAAACACCCCGAGGCAGAGAGTTCTTTTCTATTTTCTAACCTACATGCTGTTTCATAAACAGATCATGAAGGGAAAAGAGCTCTTCAAGCCTGAGACAAAAGCCCATTTCATAGGTGAGAAAGTTGAGGCCCAGAAAGGCTGATGTCTCTGAGCTCAGGGCTACACCCACCATACTACACATGCCTCAGTCACAGGTAAGTTTCTCTCAAGGGCACTACACACCCACATGTACAAATTGTGTATACATATCTCATAAATGTTAAACAGTGTAATAAACAGTGTCATGTACGGTTTAATAGAGCCAAGTGTTATCTTCATTATGTCAGTGTAACCTAAGAAGAGCAAGCCGTCGCACAGCAAGCCTGCTTTAATCTCCTTTCTGCTTCCCTTTCCTTATTTAAAATAGCACTGTGTGTATGCGCTCCGTGCGCAGACATATCCACACGCTTAGGAAAGCTTCTGCCCACCGAGTAGTTAACAATGGCTTCTCCTGTGGGCGGAAGTTTTCATTCTTTCATTTATTTGGCATTGCTGCGCGGTTTGCAATGAGTGTGCACTGCTTTTGTAATTTAAAAACAACGAGCAAAAACTGATGGTGTTTGCTGGTTGCTAGACACGGGAGACGAGCCAAGCACGAGGAGCGTTCCCTGGCGGCGCCCTCTGTGTCGTCCTCTCCGTCGTTCTAGGACACAGGACTCTTAACTGTGCCACTGGCGCGGAACCTGAGGCTTTGGGGGGCACGTAGCGGGTATATGCAGCCCAGCGCTGGGACTGTCGCACGTAAAGGCAAACTCAGAGGAACCGTAGGCCGTCGTTTCTTTCTCAGCTGCACTCAGCAAGCGGAGGGAGTGCGTCTCATAGTGATGCCTGAGGTTTGTCCTGAGCTACTTCAAGCAGGGACAAGGCTTCCCTGCTGCTCAACCGAGGCTGCGCCCCTGCAGAGGCCCTCTAGCAAGCCCCTTTCCTGGCCTGTCGTGTGCTCCTCCAGCCTCACCATTCTTGGCAGTTATGCCTCCAAGTGTGAATTCCATTGCAGGCCTGCTCGCTGCTATTCTGGGGCAGGCATTAATTTGCACACGGGCTTTGATTTGATGGGAGAAAGCCAGACACCTCAGGATGATGAAAACCTTAAAATACTCGCCCCAGAAGGCCTCCCCCGCCCCCACGGAGTCCCAGAACCTTCTTGCCCATTGCTTCTGGAAGATCCGAGGATCCAGGACGTGGAGGAAAGGGGCCCGGGGTGGAAAGGCATAGGCACCTCCCTAAGCTACGGCCCTTGGGCGGGGCTGTTCCCTCCTCTCCCAGGGATCCCTCTCGGCTGTCCACATGGCTCACTTCTTCAGCGCTCAACGCAAATAGCACACCAGCAAGGCCTTCCCTGGCCACCACTTGCCACCCAGGCTCCCCTCTGCACTGCCCGCTCCCTGGCCCTCTGCTCCTTCCAAAAGCTTGCTTGGGACTAAATGTAAGAGCCCTAAAGGAAAAGCTGCTTCGCTCAGAGCTCTGCTCCTAATACCTACGCTGGTGCCCGGCATGTTACAAATGTGCAGAACAGAAAAAGTATGAATGAATCCGTGGAGGAGGTTAAGAACCAGAGTCCGAGAAATCACGCGGCAGACGCCAGCGCCCCTCTCCCCAGATATCACCCGATTACAGAAACCTTAACACAAGGACTTGAAAGATCAGAAGAGCATCGCCCCACTCCAGGGCTGCTCTGGATCTGAGGTCACACGCAGCATGAATGAGAGGCCTCTGGGAAATAAACATTCGAGGAAGTGATGTGCAGCTAGAGTTCCGCTCGCTAACACTTGTTCAAAAACAACACAGTCCAGCTTGGATGAAAATAGCAGGAAGCTGTCCCCAAGGACACCTGGTGAGGTCATTCTGCAGCTTCTGTGTTTGTCGGGTCTCCCTCCTTCTGCTGACTCAAGGGGGCCAGAAACCATACGGCTCCTGTGAAACAAAGGGGGGTCTATTCGGGCAGCATCCGTGGGGTGCAGGGCCATAAAAGTCACATCAGTGGTGGCCCATTCACCATGGGCCCTGTAAGCTCTTCCTTTACACCACTTCACTCAGGCTTCACAACTAGTCTGTAACTGCAGCCCTCAGTCAGGAATACACATAATCCCAGTCTCATCTGTCTTGATTTCTTGCTGTGTGACCTCATCCGAGTGGCTATCCCCCCGTGAGTCAGTTTCTGCACGTGTGCATAACCCTATTGCAGTCAGTGTTTTCTAAGGCCTCTTCCTACTCTAAGGTCCAATGAGCTCTGGGAAAAGCTCTAAAGCTGGATGGAAGGACAGAGGCTCAGGTCCTGAGATCAGTCTCTGAGGGCTTGCCCCTAATAACACCCACGTCATGGCTGGGCTAACCAGAAGAGGCTCACAGCCTGGGCCTCCAGCCAAGGCATAGAAAGGCAAAGCAGACCCAGGTGGCAACGGAACGTTTCAACAGAGCTCAAGGCTGAGATTCTAAAGCAGGCCCCTGAGAGAGGCTGTCAAGAGCAGATTCCTCAAGGCCCACAGGAAAAAACCCCAAAGAAGCAGCCAGCTTGAGGAGAGCCTGCACCCTCTGAGGACATGGTCAGCCAGGTTGGCTCTAGGAAATAGAATTTTTTTCAGGAAAGCAGGAAAAGGCAGGTTTCGTTCTGGAGGAGAGGAGAGAAATGCCAGCAGTGCCTGTCCTTCTGCTTCCGAAGGCTGCCATCCACTGTACCAGCCCAAGAGGAAAGGTAGAAACAAAGCCCCTGCAGGCACCAGCTCCTGAGCTCCACCTTACTACCCCAGGGACCCCACTGTCCTCCTTCGCCAGTGTGCAAAGAGCCCAAATTTGGAATAAGTGATAGTCCTGCTTTCACCCAAGCCGCGCGCCATTCCCATCCCTCCGGACATGGGAAGGCCCTGCCCTGTCCCTTTCTCGACAGTGTTGTATCTCATTACTCATCCACGTCCGGGGGCTTCGGATCTGCCAAGAGCAGACGGGCAGCTCGCCAAGCCATGCACCCTTCTCTGTGACATCTATGTGGGAGACAGAAGCGTTTAGTAGAGTCCCTCGGCCAAGCAAGAAGAGCTCCTTACCAACCAGGCAGCCAGGAATGGCTGAAGAATGAGCAACAGGCATTGCCTTGCATTGTGTCTACTACCTCCCCGTGACATGAACCAAGGCACGGCCACACTGGGTAGCAAATCAATGTGGAGGCATCTCTGAGCCAGACCACTGCCCAAGATGTATGAGATTAAGATGGCGGAGTTGGACCCACTGAAGCCAGGAGACCCCTAAAAATGCCCTTTTGGTAAAATCTTGGCTTTAGCGGACCACAGCCAGACAGAGCAACTAGGCTCACTCTGCTTGCCTCTCTCCTCTCCGCCCTTGTCCTCTAATCGCTTTCACTTCCTACCCTGTGCTGGGCCAGAGCAGTAAGCCAGCTGCTTTCAGGCTCTTGGCGCCCTAACCTCACACATGCACATACCCAGCTGTGCGCTGCTGTGAGCTCCAAGAGGCACCGGAAATGCAGCCCAGGGTAACGTAAGCAAGATGTGAGGCTGCCCAGTTGTTTGCCAGCAAATAAGAGACTGTGGAAAAACTCCCTCTTTGCAGGATACTCCCTCAAAGGGACCATGGATTGAGAGCTTGGAATCACTCCACTGAAGGCTTCCTTCCAAACAGCAACACCTGCCTGTGTCCAGCACTAACAGAGACGTTAACAGTTTTCAGCTCAGACAAAGGAATCCACTTACTGGTTTTTCTCCAGGTCCAGGATCAGTTCTTGCCCCTCAGCTGTTACCCGGAGCTCAGCCTTGCTGGGATGCTAAATGCAACAAGAAAACAAAGTCAGTTCCTAAAGGCAGGGACCGAGGCTCCCAAGGACGGGCATGGGACCTAGCAGGGACCCACAGGAAGGAAGCAAGAAAAGGTCAATTGCATTTCCAGCCCAGGCCCGGATGGCCTCCGTCCTAGACTGACCCCAATCCTTCCCCCATCTGCTTTCTCCTGAGAAGCAAAGCAAAGGAACTCCAGGCTGAGGTGCGGGGGAAGTGCAGACCTGCAGCCTGATCAAGGGAAGCAGGAAGATGTGACTTCCAGCAGTAAATTTCCCAGGAGTCAGCCTGGGTTCAAGGACCAGCTCTGACACCTGCCCTTTGTGATGCTGGACGTGCTACCAACCCTCACTACACCTTCGTTTCCTCCTTTATAATAAAGAGATAATAATAAGCACCTTATGAGGATTTCACAAGGATTAAATGAGACAATGAATGGACACAGCGCACCCCTGTGCCTTGTCACACCCAGAGCACGTTGGTGGACTCTCTTGATGGTAGGATTTTATTTTATTTTGGCTTTGAATTTGGAAACCCCATCAGCTCAGAGTTGGCAACAACAGGCATCTCAAACTGAGGATTCAGATGCCCCAAAGTAGATCTGCTTTATACCCAAGCAGTTCGCTAGAGGCCACAGGTGTGACCGTCCCCCAGAAGAGCATTTAAGATGCAGGAACGAGCAGTGAGCGTGAGAAGCACGCTCACCATCACAGGTAAGTCATCTGCCCCGTCCTCCGAAATGCAGCCACATAAAGGAGACACCTTCAATACAGTCGAAGAGATGCAGATGATTTAAAACCCTAAGTCAGAATGCAATGGAGCATACTGTAAAATGGGCACCCTTACTCCCTATCTGACAATTTATCTTATTTATTTATTGTTAATGATTTTGGTTGTTGCAGGGTCTCACTACGCAGCTCAGACTCATGGTGATCCTCCTACCTTCAGCCTCCCCAGCACTGGGATTACAGGCATGCAGCACTATGCTGGGACTCTGTGGCCAGCCCAGCCTGCCCTGGGGGTGGGGCTGGCGCAGCATGTGGTGCAGGGGACCGAACTGTGGTTCCTGTACTTGCTTAAGCTTGCCTAAGCAGGCGTTTTAGTCCACTGAGTTATCTCACCAGCCCCACTACCTGATAATGTAAATTGAAACCAATTTTCTGAAAAAATACTTTTGATTGTACAGAGCAGGAGTCTTTAAATGTTTGGACCATTTGACCTAGGACTGAAGAAGAGTCAGGGACATAGCTCAGTCGTGCAGCACTGGACTGGCAAGCTCAAGGCCCTGAGTTCAAATCCCAGTGCAAAATTTAAGAAAAGATTGAAAGGAACAAATAGAAGTATAGGCAGAGATTGGGACACAGAAGATATTACTTACAATAACAAATAATGAAACAAAACCTAAATGCCCCCCAAAAAACAATGATTAAGCCATGATTCATTTATATGACAGAATACTAGATAGTCATTAAAAATACTGACTTTAAATGATTGAGAAAATAGACACAATAAATATTAGATAAAATGGGCATGGTGGCCCACACCTATAATCCCAGTACTTGGAAGGCTGAGGCAGGAGGATTGCCACGAGTGTAAGGCCAGCCTGGGCTAAACAGTGAGCTCAAGGCCAGCCTGAACTACATGACAAGATCCTCTACTCCAGTAAATAATTAGGTATATATTAGATAATGAAAACACAAAATATGACACTGTATTTTTGTATTTAAAGGGGAAAATGTACAAAGAAATAAACTCAGTGTTACATAGTTACTCTGGATAGTAGAATATAAATTAATTGCATCTTGTTTTACACATCTTTCTAGATTTTTGTAATTGCTTTTTATCGTGTATGAAAAGGACCTTTATCTCTTTTTACTTTATTACTGTGGAAACTTTCAAATAAATTTAAAAGCCAATTCATGATAAGCCCACACACTTTGTTAATTTAAGTCAAAGCTGTCAAACTTCTGTAAAGGAAGCCGTGATTCACCCTAGAGCATTGACAAATTTAAAACAGCCCAGATTCTTGGGTGTGTGTTAAATAAGATTTCTCTAACTGGGAACCAAGGAACTGACATGTGCTTAAAACCCTTTCAGTCCATAGACGTCCTGCTGGGTGGAGCAGCAGGACTGTTTTCAAGGCTGACTTCAAAGCTCACCCATAGATGGCTCTGCCGCTGTGGGGAGGGGGTCACCTGCTCCGCCATCCCTGCCAGGACAGCTTTCCTAAGCATATGCCTTTTCTTACTTGCTGCTGGCCTCACTCACCAGGGCCTGAGCATCGCTGAGACTTCTGACCTCAGCTTCCCAACCAGGTGCTCCTGGGCAGAACCTGCCCGCTCCCTACCTGGCCCTGTTCCCCAGTACTCAGAAGGCATTCCAAAGCCATCCTAGCACAATGCTGGTGAGACAGTTTCGCCGTCACTGTCACTAGGAGTTTGGTTTCGGATACCCGGCTTTAGCTCTGCAGCACTACCAATACCTATTCTAATCACAGGTCCTTTGTACTTTATTCAGAGGAGGTCTGGAGCAAGGGCCTTGCCCAGGCGTACCAAGCACTCAGGACATAGCTCCAAGGGCATCTCGAAAAAGCACACAGCGGAGCTGTAGCAATGCCCTTACCTAAGGGGCAGGCGGCCAGGTGCCAGCCCTCATATCCAAGTGCTGTCAGCCAGCCCCCTGAGGGACACGGTTGCAACATGAATACTAATTCTGCCACTTTGTACATGAGCAATTATCTCTGTTCTAAAAGATGATCAGACTCTTATTTAAAGTAAGACACACATGCCTTGCTTCCAGGTGACAATACAAATAAAAAGCTAACATGCATTTTAAGGGTCTAGAGACCTTCCAGTTCTACTTGGCAGCTTTCTCTTATAACTCCAACTCTGGCCTAGGAAGGGGTAACCCACTGCCCATGCATCCCCTGGAAAGGGTGAAAAGCCTTTTCTCTCTTGGACTAGGTTAAATAAATAGTTCCATAAGTTATTGGAAATCTGTCTTGTATCTTTTCATTTCCTTAAAGCCCAATATTTAATATGTTGTGTCTAATTCATATTTAGTAAATGAATTCATTACATACATGTGAATTCCATCTCTCTCTCTCTCTCTCTCTCTCTCTCTCTCTCTCTCTCTCTCTCCAAATATTTATGGTGCCAGGCACTGTGCTGAGTACCCCTACAGAATACAATGACCTATGCTCTAAGCAGAGCAGACAATTACTAGGAACAAAGACAGGATCTAGTCCTCTGCTTTGTTTCTCGGGCCCTTCCTGAGGATGCCACATCTGGAGGGAACAAAGAAGCCTCTATTAAAAGTACCAGATCCATTCTTCAGGCAATAATGATAAGTTAAGATATCCAAGATCTAATTCTCAAAAATAATCTGCTTTGGGATGGCCATCTATTAATCTTTCTAGACTTTTCCTGAAGTTATTTTCAGCCTTCCCTTAATAAAGTGAGTTCCATGTATTTATTGTCTTCACAAGAAAATCTCCCTTTCTTTCTCTCTCCTGCAATTTTCTCTGTAGGCTCCCTTTGTAAACCCAAGTTGGATTAGTTGGGGATTTGTCTGCATTACTCTTATCTTAAAGAATTCTGAGCATTTCTCCTCTATTCATCTTTCCAGGCTCAATGGTCACGCTATCTTTAGTGTCTCTTGACATATCTCCTGCTATAATCTTGCTCCTATATGTAGCCAATAAATCACAGGCCATTTGAACCCAAAGAGACCTTTGAAACCAGCCCTTCTCCACAGCTGTCTTCATCCTGATTCCCTCTAAGACCTATTTTATAAATGAATAATAAAAAACTCCAGTTATTTAGAAAGTAGAAGGTCACAGAGCATGCCAACAATCGCTTCTCCTTTTCTAGCCTCACTTGAGCAGTGAAAAGAAGAACTAGAAAGAAAATCCTAGTCACGCACAGCTTCTTACTACAATAACAGAATGTTTTTAGTTCATTGGTAAAAAGTCTGTGCATTTTTCTGGTGTTCTGGCCCAAGAAGTATATAGGATTTTGAGATATGTTAAAGATAGTTTAGATTATCCTTTCTGTCTCCAAATACATTATCCTAACAATAAAACAAAGCATGTATTGATATTAAAGACAATATTTAATAAATTCCAATCAAACTGATTTTTGTGATACCATCACATTTGTAATTAGTCTGCACCTGGATTAACATGCATTTTCATTTTCTCAACATTTGGAAATAAATTCTAGATGTTCATACATTGAAGGAAAGCCCACCTGGGATACCCAAAACCAACCGAAGAGGGTAGAACAAGCTAGAAACAGAACTACCAGAGACATCTGGGCCTCTGGAAAAGCCAGGAAAGGGAGAGTCAGTTCTCACAAATTCCAGTTGTCAATTCTGGCCTCTGAAAAGGGCATCTTGGGTCTTATTCTGGCCTCTGAAAAGGGCATCGTGGGTCTTACCTTTTCACTCACAGGGCTTTCTGCAGTCTTCCACTGAGGTATTATGAGTTCATGCTGTGGCTGGGGACTGCCTTCCTCACTTCCTCCTGCCAATACAAAACATACACCATGGTCATCCCAGACCTCCACTCCTGACCAAACTACACCCGTACCTTCTGCGACAACTACTGTCTCTGGCAAGAACTGCCCACAGGATCATCCCACGACCTGCTTGCTTCCAGGCACTAGGGGCCTACTATGAGCCACCAACGCAACGTTCTTCCAGGGGCTAGTGATAGACTATAAGTGGGACAAACAAGGTCTCAGTACTTGCCAAGTTTTCTTTCAGTGATGAGAGAAAATCAACATACATTTTCAGGTGATGCTAAATGCCTTGAAAAAAGTAAGATAGGGCTTTAGGAAGCAGCAGAGGGTGCCTATTTTGAGACAAGATGATCAGCAAAGATGACGCATGAGCAAGACCTAACGGCCCAGCAGAAGGCTCCATGAAGGACTGGGAGAAGCACACTCTAGGTAGAGTGAGTGGAGGGGCAATGCTGAGCAGAAGCAGACTTGGCGAACTTGGCCTAATGAATAAGCAGAAGGCAGAGCTAGTAAATGGGCGAGAAAGCTGGGAAGAAATGTAGTCAACAGGACAGCCCTGGTCTGACAATGCAGAAGCCATGAAAAGTGTCTGGATTGTATTATAAATAGACCTGGAAGGCACTGGACATCTAAAGGCAGAGTAATATGATCTGTACCAGGTTGAGTGGAGAATGGGGGAGGGTGGAGGGAGAAAACGGAAAGCAGGAAGGCAAGGCTGCATCGTGTACAACAAATAACCACTAGGAAGGCAGTATGCAATGTGTTAATTAATGGGACTGTCCTACCAATTCGATTTGAAACTGTTTCACTGCTATTTATTTCTCAATAAAATTATGGGGGAAAAAAAACCTGCAGGAGCCCTGATGAGACGGGACAGTGCTCAGACTAGAATGACATCAGCAGAGAGAAATGGAGTAGTAGAATGGGGTATACTCTGAAGATTCAGCTTCCAGCAAGCCTCAGTTTCTCATTGACGATAATGATGCTCATTGCCCATGTCACAGTGTTACTGGAGAAGGGTGTGAAGTTGCTCCCTAACCTGTAAGGCATTGCTACATTCACATGAGGTTCCCAACAGCAAGCCTGCATTTGTGTTTCCCTCCCGATGCCCCAAACCACTCTCCCCATCCAGATCTCCACTCTCATGACAACCTGGGGAAATAGGGAGTAGCCTTTCTATTGTACAAGAAAGGGAATTAAAACCACAGAAGGACCCCATTCAAGGCAGGGCAGACTGCAAACGCTGGTTGCAGACCATCTTAATAAAATGAGAATTTCCTAAGACCAAAGCAAATCAGTCTCCATAAGAATCAATCCAAAGGACTTCTGGGGTTGGATCTGAGTAGCCCAAATTCTATTACTTCTAAACCACACACATCAATCACACTGGATGCAATAAGTGATATAAAAGATGGCTGTAGCTGTTGTTAGAATGCTACGATTATGATTGATTATTGACTTACCTTTTAGATTACTGATATAGGTATTTGAAATCAAAATATATCCTAAGAGCAATCTCACTAGACGAACATTAGTAAGTTGGTAAAAACTCAAAGCAATGCATTTATTGATCTACCACATGTCTTCCATGTTTTCTATACACCAAGTACTACACTAGGGGTTTAATACTCTTGAGGGAGAAAGACAGGCAGAGTCCCTGCCCTCATGGCTCTATGAAGTCTAGAGTCTTACAACTAAAAAGAAATTATATAATACTTAATGGAATATTTAAAGAAATGAAATAGGTGATCAAGTAAAAAATACCAAAAGTATTATCTAAGGGCTGAACAATGGAGGATCCTATAGTACATTTATGAAAAAAAAAATTTGTACCTTGGAAATAGATGCATAGACTGTTTTTTCAGCGTGGTATTTGGAGTACTGTTTAACAGACTTCCCGTGGGTACTGGCTTATCTGAGGGAATGCACCGTTGGCTTTTTGTTTACTACTGAGTGAAAGCCCATACTCTGTGAAGTCATATTAACTATAGATTTCTAGTGGACAGAGATGAAAACTGTTTCAGTGTAGTGGAAAGATAACAAAGAATAACATCCTTGGCCCACCACTGCCATTTCTGTCTGACTTAGCCACAAGATTTTAGGTCTTTGGCCAAGGCGAGCTCCATCCTATTCCCCTAACCTCTTTTCAAGTAGCTCTGCCATCCGGAAGGCTACCGCATCAATGAAGAGAGCGAATCTTTATCACATTTTTGAGTCGAGATTTTAACTTTTGAATAGCCTGCTTGCACAGCTTCTTGATAGATTTTAAGAGTTGTTAAGATCACAAGTATAGAGAATGTACTGACTTGGGAAATGCTTACCGCTTGAAGTACAAAACTACACCTATGGCATATTTCCAATTTTATTAAGATATATTTATAGAAACACAAGAAAAGGGACAAAGAAACCAAACATTAATAGCGACCATGGACTTAGGGATTGTGGGCACTTTTGCTCCTTTTCCACTTTGCCTTATCTGCAGCCACTCTCCCTCACCTAGTGATCCCTGGGGACTCCGAGGGCACTCAGTGGAGCAGTAACTCACTTTCCCTGACTTTCTTCATGCTTTTCTCCTACACAAGATTAACTCAAGCCTCCTGCCAGATTCTGGAAAGATAACTAGAACCCGGGCCCCTCAAATTCTGGCCACGGAACAAAAGCTACCATCCCTAGGCTTGCTGTGAAGACCCGTTCCTCGGTTTCCCTTTCAGGAGGAACCGAGAATCCCCCTAAAGCTCTCTCGGTCCGGGCCAAAACAACCTCCTCGCCCTCCATGGGCCGGGGTGTCCTGCCCTGCCTCCACCCCGCCAAGCTTGCTTGCTTTGAAAATGCTGACTGTTGGTCCCCTCAAGCAGCGGTCTGAAGTAAGCGCTGCCAGTCCGCGGCCCAGCCGAGACTGCGCTTTCTGGGATGACAATGACAGAACCTGGGCACCGCCCCAAGGACCGTTCCATAAGCAGAATTGGCGGGCAGTCCCTCAGGATGGACCCTGGAGACAGCGGCGTCTGTAAGCCAGGCGCAACATCACCCGGCTTCCGAGCAGCTTGGGGCCCCAGTCCCTGCGCTGCATCTGAGGGGCGAGACAGGAGCGGCCAGGTGCCGGGGTGCGGAGAGCGAGCCCCGGCTTCCCGCGCGGCACGGACCTCCCTCGCGGGTCGGCCGTGCGTAAACCCCTTCTCTTTCGCGAGCTTCGCTTTCCCCACAGTGCCACGGATGCGTCGGCCTGGATCTTCACGCAGAGGGTCCAGGCCACTCAGAGCTCCGAGGTGCCGAGGTGGGGATGCTCACTGAGCTACCCTGCCACCGCCCGCACTGCCCCCGGGGCAGCCCGTTTCCCACCCGCCGGCGAGCGGCCGGAAGCGCGACCCGGAGTGCGGCCCCAGGAGCCGCTCCCCAGGGCGCTCGGGATGCTCGGGGCGCTGGCGCAGAGAAGCTGGAGAAGATGGGGGACGCGGAACGGAGAAGAGCGACCGTGAGAACCAGAGCGGACGCTGCGAGCAGCAGAGAAGAGCGGAAAACAGAGCGGCGCGGGAGGGGGTGGCAGCCGGCGAGGGGCGGGCGGCTCTCGGCGTGCTCTGGGTTCCCTGACCGCCACTGCCTCCAGTGTCGCGCGACGCGGGAACAAAGCCCAGGCTGCGGGGCCGGGGCGGCCAAGGCCGCGGAGAGCAGGATCCGGTCCCGCTCGGGTCCTGGGCCACCCCGCCCACCGCCGGGTCCCCGGCCCCAGGCCCCTGCACTTACTTTGCGTCCAGCCCGGCTCCTGCACCGCCAGCGGCCGCAGGGGCTGCAGGGCGAGCGCCAGCAAGCACAGCCGGGCGGCGCCGGCGCCCCCGGGCATCCTGGCTCCCCTCCTCGGCTCACAAGCCCGGTGCCATGCCCGCCCCGGCCCGACCGCGGGGGTCGAGCGTCTGCAGCCCTTGGCCGCCTAAGAGCCCGGCGGCTGGGCTCCCTGCCCAATGCCGAGACGCCCCGCCCCGCCACTGGGCTGGGCCTGGGGACGGAGGAGGAGAGAGGGTTGGGGGACCAGTCGGAGAAGCAAAAGGAGAAACCCCTGCGGGGCGGCCACTCAGGAGACCCGGACTGCTCGGGTGACCGGGAACTGGCGGGAAGGGGGCTTCCGGGCAACGGGAGGGAGAGTCACTGGTGAAGGTGACCTGAAGAGGAGGACCGGGTTCCTAAGGGTTAAATGGGACCCCAGTGCACGAGGGCCACTTTACTGTGTCCTCTTGGGTGTCAGCCACTCACCATCTCCAGGGCCCAGCACACTTGGAGATCGGCACGAAAGAGTTAACCCAACCCCCAATCACGAAGCACTAAGTGCTATATGGAGTCGTGCTTTTTTAAAAAAAGCAGGATAATAATCCCAGAGCCATTCCTTCTGTCTGGGAGGCGGGAGGAATGGAGAAGATGGGAATCCCAGGGGAGGGGACAGCTGGGCTTGGCAGAGCTGAAATGGAACGCTCAATAAGGGAAGAAACTGCCTGGACAGAGAAGAGCAAGCGGGCTTGTGGGTGGAAAACTAGAATTCCAGGGCAGTTAGGGTTAGGAGCAACCTGGGAGGAATAAGACTGTCACTTTCTGTGGACTTAGTATCTCTAGAATAAGGCAATTAGGATGCCTTCTCTAGCTGCCATAACAAAATACCACAGGAGGTATCTTAAAGAGCGATTTATTGTCGCATGGTGCTGGAAGCCAAAAGTCCAACACCCAGGTGCCACCAGGGTTGGTTTTTGTGAGACCTGTCCTCCTACCCTGTAGGTGACAGTCCTTCTCTGTGTCCTCACATGGCCTTTCCTCTGTGCCCAATAGGGCACTTCTGCTGCAGAGAACAGCCTCTTACCTTATGACCTCCTCTAGCCTCCCCCCAGAACTCCAACCATAAACACAGCCACACTGGGGGCTAGGGTTTCAATATGTGAATCTGGGGAGACACAGTCCATAACATTCCACTCCCCTCAAAAAAAATTCATGTCCTTCTCACATGCAAAATATGTTCACCGCATCACAAGACCCCCAAACTTCGCTCCAGCATCTATTCCTAACCCAGAGTCTCATCTACCTACAGACCAGCTAAGTCAGGTGTGGATAAGACAGAGGTGTGAATCATAAGACTAACTTCCTCTCCCCCTGCGAAGCTCAGTAAGTTCTGTGCTTCCAGATTATAGTCATGGGACGTCCCGCTATTCCAAAGAGGAGAAATGGAAAAGAAAGATGGGATGACAGTTCCAGGAGGTCCAAAGCCTAGCAAGACCATTGCTTCCTATCGCTCTAAAGTGAGCCTCTCTAGCTAGATGATCTGTTTTCCTGTTCCCCTGGCATGGCAGTGCCCCCCTGGCTCTAGCAGTGGCTGTGCCCTCATGCCTTCACAACTCCACCCCTGAGCACTGGACAGAAAGAGGAGAGGACCTTACCATCTCACATAGCTTTGTGCCCTCTGACCTGTGGCATCCTTCATGCTCCTGAAATGCCTTCAACCCACTCTTTCCTTTTCCTGAAGGATAGAGGTGAAAAGCTCTCTGGTCCTGTCCTACAGAACTCCAGAATTCTAAAAGCCTTCCCTTACAGCAGCTTGACTCTGATTCCTGTAGTCCAAAGGGCTGTGTCTTAGCTAATACAATCCCTTCCTCACACTTGATTGACTCAATGGCAACCTTGTAGAATGTTTGCTTAACCACACTTTTGGTGTTCTTTACACAAAACTGAGACGTAACTTCAGTAATTTGCTTTGGAATCTCTATAGCTAAATACATTTACAATTTCTACTTTTCATAAAATGCTACAGCACAATTCAGATGAGATCGGGTGTACTCAGGGTGGTATGGCTGAAGACATAGAGCACAATTCAGTCATACCCTTTTCTACTTTATAACAAGGAATACCTTTCCTCTATTTCCAGTAATATGTTCTTCATTGCCAACTGAGCCCTGGTGAGAATCATCTTGAGCCTTGGAGGCTTAAGCCCAGGTCCAACAGATCCACCCCTTACTCTTCTGCTATAAATTTGTAGCTTAGTGTTATAGTAACTGGCCTGTGTCCCAGCAACTTTCCCTGAAGGATACAGGAAGCAATGTGTTTATCCACTTAGTATGATGAATAGAAAACAGTAACACATATGCAAAAGTATTAAAACAGGACTTGGATCCACTTTTATATTATGTTCTAGCTAGTTTTGCATTTGTTTATCCGAGCATCACAGAGGGTCCAGTAAACCCACATCACTCCAGGATTCGTTTTTAAAGAAGTTTTCTAAGAAGACAACAATATGTAATGTATTAATTATTGTAACTGTCCTACTAATCTGTTTTGAAACTGGTTCATTGCTATTTTATCTTTTTTCTCATTAAAATGAATAAAAGATAATTAAAATCAGAAACAAGAAAAAAATAAAAGTTTTCTTTTGATTTTTCTAGTAGAAGTAGCTCAATTCAGTACAATGACACATAAAAAAACAAGATTTGTAAATTTTAGAGGGTATCAAAAGTGAATCATCAGATTACTCATGCAGGGATGATGAAGATGACCCTTTATGGTAAAATCCATGCTTTCACAGAAGACTGCTGGGGGTAGAGGGTGATGATAGTGATGAGGACTTTAAGATTGGTCTTGTGAACCACAGTGCCTGTGACCATGAAATGGGGCAAGAGTGGACTGATACAGACACAGGGAATGCGGACCTCCTTGATTCAGATGGTGAAGAAAACAAGGCGAGTACAACTTTGACTGGGAAAAAGGTTGCAAGATGGCCAGCAACCAAATGGACCAACCCAATGATAGCACTAGGCACAGCTAGGTCAGAGAATGTAGTAAAGGCGTCGACAGGGGAGAAATGTATCGGACAAAACGCCAGCACTGCTATTCATGTTGGAAATGATAACAGAGGAAATGCTCCAAAATACTATGAAAGGCTGAAGTGTCAGTAAAATATTCTGTTTGCACCAATAGCCATATTCAAAACTGTATTTATGGGGGCTAGGGAGATAGCTCAGTGGTCTACGCGCCTGCCTGACAAGTGCCAGGACATGAGTTCAATTCCTGGTGCCACATGCCGTGCTAGCCCGGGAATCCAAGACATGCTGTGCCAGCCACCAAAACAGGGCATTTTGGCACACACCTGTAATCCCAGTGCTGGGGAGGCTGAGACAGGAGGATCACTATGAGTCTGAACTGCAGAGTGAGACCCTGTAACAAATAAACAAATAAAATTCAAAAATATATTCATTATGATACCTCACTGGCTGAGCTGAAAGCATTCATAGGTCTGCTGGACCTAGCACAGATTTGCCATGGTGGTCACAGGAATGTAAAGGACTTATGGAAAAGTGACAGGTGAAATACGGCATAAACATGTGTGCCTTTGTAGATGTGAAGATGTATTGTTCTTTCCATTTAGACATTTATCCTGGAAATCCCCCACTAGGTCCTTATTTGTATAGCAATAAACCGACTGATGTTGGGAACAGACTTGTTCCATCTCCCAAACTCATCACAACGTGACATTTGGCAGCTGGCTGTGGATTTCCAGCTGATGGGCCATTTGCTACCAGAGAACAAGTTGACCAGCACTGAAAATTCAAAACAAAGAATCGTATGGTGCAATCTTTGAATTTCAGAAAGGTACAATGTTGGGCTCCTATGCAGCAAAGAAAAGCAAACTGGTACTGCGGATATCAGCGTGTCACCATGATGGCAACATTGATAGGGAAACCCTGACAAAATGGAAGCCTGAGGGAAACTTTCAACAACAAAAGCAAACACGCAGTAGGTGTTGATGAGTTATGTAGCAACCCTGATGTCACCTGAAGCACAAAGCATTGGCCAATATTTGTGTTTTATTTGATCCTACACATGTATGGCATAAAATTTTGATTATTTACAAGGAAAATGACAAATGAAAAAAATCACAAAGAGATGTTCTTAGCGGATTGGGATTGGAGCTCCTAAGAGATCATTCACAACAGAGGAAAAAGAAAATGCTTCTGCCAAGGGAACTATGAAAGAAATAAAACTGTGGAGCACACTGGTGAGCTGACAGATGAACAGGCAAGGCCAGCATCACAAAGACCTACTGCAAAAATAGGAAAACAAAAAAGATGTCAACAGTGGCCCACCAGAAAGCACAAGAAATGAAACATGTGTGCTATCAGGGTAAGCAATGGTTTTGCATAGAACATAGAGCTGTTGTGTGTGAAGACGGCCTAGGATGGGACAGTTGAAGCATATTTTTGATGTTATCTTTTGACTTTTGTAACCAAGTAAACAGCTCATGTGAAAATGTTGATGTCTATTCTAAGTACTCGGTACGTATTTGCTACTGTATCTCGTTGACACCCTATTTCCTTGCTAAGCGTATGTTGTACAATATAGTAAGAAGCTCCTGACAAAACAGGAAGAGAAGAGAGGTGACAAGACCGCCACATAGGAAAGGAAGGCTGAACACACATGTTGTCAGTGTGAGATGCATGCATGGAGCACACAGTTGTCATGTGTGAAGACTGCCTTGGGTGGGACAGTTGAAACAAAGCTTATTTTTGAGGTAGAGTCCTATTGGTGTTTTCACTGGAGTTCCTATAGGAATTTATTTATGACATCGTCTTTTAGGCTTTGTAAGCCAGTACAAGCTGATGTAAAAATGCCGATGTCTACTCTAAACACACAATACATAATAAGAATTTAGTAATTCATTTTATTAATATTTTATGTTTCTGTTAATCATTCACTGTATAATATAAGAAGAACCTCCAGACAAAACAGCAAGACCACTGAGATGTCAAGCTTGTCTTACAGCAGGGCCAGGAAAGCGAAAGATGCACTGCCAGCCTAAGTGGCGCAGGTGTGGAGGGTGCTGTTTTCGGGTGAGCACACTGCCATAGGCGTGATCGCTGGAACAAAGATTTTATTTTTTTGTAGAGTGTTATTGGTATTTTCACTGTAG